CCCTAACCACCAGGCCATGCCGGGCCCACACGTGATAGTGACCATGCATAGTAAAATTGGAAAATTAATCAACTTAGGTTTTTATTAGTCATGAGAATATAAGATTTTTTTATCATTCATCTCTTGCAACAAAGGGCCAAGAGAGAAAGCAGCCAGTCATCAACACCCTACCACCCACCATTTACGCTAAGGGATTAACTGCCATTCTTTTAACGTACCCACGACTTGTATTGCGGGGAATATTTTGTGGTATCGCACGGATTCGATCCTGATTCGTCAGCTCCGAAATCCAGAGCTCTAAAACTGGGGCGAACTGTCCCACTTTGTGAAATAGAAGTATTTTGGGATTTTATGTTAAGTAATTTTTGATAAAAATACGCAAATTTTTGTAACCAGCAAGCTGTACGAAGAATGTCGTATTATTTTTGTTTCATTAAAGTGTCAAAATAGTAGGTTCCATAATCGTAATAATACAAATTCTACAAGCTCAATCTTATGTTCTATGACAAAGACATTCAAAGAAGTTACCATTAGTTTAGACTTTCATAATTTCAAAGTAAATAACTGGACATGCAGCAAGTATGATTTATGTTTTCATTAACAAACTAATCTAATAAACTAGTTCATAACTTTGATAGAAAACTTACAAGTTCTTTGCATGCATCTTATATTCTGTAATATTGTCGACACTGAATATGTCGCCTGTACGTTGATAAGATATTAATAAAAATGAAATAGTTTAAACAAATCAAGAACTACTCACAATGGATTCGTGATAATAAAATAAAATTTAGTTTGTAATAACTCATTATCACTGTGAACTTTAGATTCGGTGTGTTACTTTTATGGAAATACGTCTTGAATATTTAGTAACAGCAAACCTGTGCATGGTGGTAAGCACTTGATGGATACAGTCGTACTTCAGGATCACTGGATAGGGATTATCACCAAATATAATAGTTGTCTGGAATATCAGACTATCAATTTTTTTTTCTAATTCCCTTCTTAATTTCTTCAACCGTTTTCGTGATTTCAAAGGAAAGGTCATTCTTCAGAAAAGACAATCAAATTCTCAGTAAATTTGTATTCGGAAGAGTGGCCTTTGATATCACCAAATCGGCTGAAGAAATTAATAATGGAGAGGAAAACATTAAATAGCCTGATATTACAGTATTTTGTTATATATATACACTCACACACGTATATATAATATTCTGGAACCTTTACATCTACCAAAAATATTTATTGGTGACACTTATTTCAAGAACTTTATCTATTTTCTTTCTTACTCTTCTCAGTAGAAGCATACATTTCATAAGATATTACATTGGTGTGATTAAGAATACTTCCAGCTCACCTCGTAACGTTCAAATTATAATAAAACTTTTCATCTTTCAGATCAACTGACTCCTGTAATATTTTTCTTTATAAGTGAAACAAATCCAAAAAGGACAAATGTCAAACAGAGTAAAATAAAGCTGCTAAAATTAACTGCTTGTATCCCAAAATGTTATGACAATTTTCACATTCTCTGACAGAAAAAATAAAAGAAATGTAAAGATATACCACAAGAGTATTCTAAAAGTCTTCGTAATAACGTATTTATGCAAGACTTCTGTCAAAAATTACTGCAGTGCATAATAAATATATATGATTATTTTGCTCACGATTGATTGAAAGCACAATTAAATTTAGTAAACAATAGGTCTACTTGAACTGCTTAACTTTTTAAATGCGAAGTTCAAATGAGTTCACGTTTTGAATTTTACAGGTGTCAGATAAACTGTCCATGTATATATATTCAAAGTAATGTCTCATTGTGAAAACTGCTTAATCGAGCAACAACAATAACAACAACAACAACAAAAACATGAAAAAGAAAAAAGAATCTGGCATTAAACACCCAAATTACAGTGAAATAGTTTTCGGTACTTAATTATACAGCAGTGTCCTTGCTGTATATCTTCGCATTTCCGTTGATCAGGTTGGCTCTTTGTGAGGCAAGAGTTTTCCATTTATCTCGATTACCCACAGCTCCCTCTACCATCTCCATAAAACCGGCGTTGACTTTAGACAAGGCCTTAAGTAAAAATAGTGTTGACAAGCAAAAATAATATTATATTCTGGGCGGGTTATATTATCTTCTGTGTTATAGAACAACACTTTACAAATATTTTTATAAAAATAAAAATAGTAATATCACTCAAACGTCTATAAACGAAGTATTTCACAAACTGAAAACACTCACTGTGAAAAATCCTATAGATAAAACGAGATAAAATCAATATGGAAATTATCAAAGAATCTAAAATTGAAATAAATTAAATCGACGAAAATAAAAAATGCAGAAATATTAATTTTATAAATTTCTATGGAGAGCTCTCTATCTATTGACACAAAGAAATTCGCTATGCACTATAATGGATGATGTGAGTGTGGTTATTGGCAAGATTATACAGGATTATAAGAACACATACGTGTGTAACTCATACATGAAACTAATGTCTCGCCGTTATTATCGTTAGATGCGTGCGTGTGCGATATGAGCCAAACCACACAGTAAAGTTAAATAAGTTCTGACTGAATAAAATACCACTAGCTGATAAATCAAGCGGTGCTATCTTATACGGTCACTTATTGTTCTATATCTACAGCGCTATTATGCTCTTGGCTCTAAAACTGATTAAGTAATTATACTAGTTCTTTATTAAGTTCCACTTATATAAGAAACTAACGACACTAGATAATAAAAAACGCTATGACACAGAGATGCAGCAAAAAACATGCATCTAGAAATCGTTCTATTTATACGGCAGATAACTAAAAACTTTGTGAAATAATGATTAATTAATTCACTGTCAGTTGACAGGAACACATTAATTTACAATCCTCTGTTTATTATCACTAAATATTGTATAATATTTTTTGTAAAAATATGTAAATATAGTTATAGTCATTTACAAACAATTACATCCAAGGACACCCATTTTTGCCATATGTACGTTTTAAATAAAGAGCAGTATACACATGATTTACATTTGGTGGTGTTTGTGAATACAGGTAAATATGAGTTGTGTCTTGTCCTACCTTATATAGCGGGAGACATATTGTGTCAATCCAGGTCACTTGCATCTGTGGAAGTTCGTGTTTCTTTTCTCTGTCCATCAGGGCCTAAAAAAAAAAACAGAAAAAATTTCCGCTCCAGAAAACATGTACATGAACAATAACTATTCGAAATGACTTAGATGGTGTTTATTCTTTATTTACACTTGCAAAGTTTCTGCCAGTTATTTCGATGCGCTTTTACATTTTAATTTTCACAGATTTAAAGTAGTTCAACAGTATAAAACTTGTTTAAGTAAATGGCATACATTTCTAAATACTTATGAGTGAAATTAAAGAATAATGTGTACAAATATATCAACCATACTATATCAAAACTTACTTTTCTAGTATTATATATTAAAGTAAGTATATGGATGTGTTGGGCTAAGGATTCTTCTACAGTAGGTGTCTGTGCTTGTTAGCGATAAATTCAAAAATAAACGAACATCACGCACTCCATTTGTTTTCAAAATAATTTATATATTCGGAACAAGTGGAAAATGTAGAAAATTCCTTACACTATGGAGATCATTGTTGTATCTTAAACACTATGCAGTTCTCTTCTTATTGTCAAAAGTCAACTTGGGCCTATTCAGTTGCTTTAAAATTCAGTTGACAAGCTGAACTATTTTTATTTATTTCTGCCGCCAGACTATCCGTGTATATCCCATTATAAGGGCTCGTTAGGCCAACTGCGATACGATAGACATAGTAATGGTTTAGACGCTGTTTAGATTAACACATTGAATGAAACAAAAATAGCACACTAACTTGTTAAATCATAAACATTGGGGCAAACCGAGATAGTCGTCTACTAACTATTAGATGTTATTTTTTCTAAGTCTAGTGAGAAAAGATGGCGTTGTCAAACTGAAAATGAATGTAAAACAAACAAACGACTAAATTTGCTGTGTATACTATAAAAGCTACTTATTATTTGTCATAATATAAAAGACTGTTTAGTTTATACGTTATTGATTAATTTATTTTTGTGAGTGAATATTTTATTATTGTTTAGTTTTTCTTATAATAAAAGTTAAAAGTAGACGATTGTAGGAAGTTGTGTATATAAGTCATTGAGGTTGAGACTATCGAACGTCGCGTGCAATGCATTGATGTCGAGAATATAGAATTTGGGCAGACGATTAAGTGATAGACATATAAATAGTGTTTGACGAGCGGAAGCAGCAGACAGATAATAGCAAAAAAATAGTAAAGTAACAGACCAAGGAAAAGTTCGACGTGAAGTTAATTACCGTAGAAGTGATAGGCCTAACGTTTAATATGTTAGAATAAGACTAACAGGAGATAAGAAGGAAAATTATTCCGTCAAAGCGTGATTCTAAAGTAATTGAATCAGCCTGAGTGTACTTTGACAAAAGGAACAGGAGATGTATGGAAGACAGAAGACCAAACGATTATCGATAACTCGCGCCAAAATTGTAAGTGAATCACATACAGAATACTAGTGCGATAATAATAGAAAAGATAGTTCGACTTGTCAACTGAAAGTCTAAAGTAACTGAATAGGCCTAAGTGGACTTTTGACGTTTAACTTGTTTCGAATATATATATATATTATTTTGAAAACAAGTGAAGTGTACACCTACTGTAGAAGAGTTCTACGCCCCAAAACAACTAGTAAAAGCCTTTCATTTTGACAATTGGCGAAGATCAGTTTTGAATTTTGAATTCTGGCATTATTATTCTAATAAACAAACCTGTGGTTGAATTTTTAACTGCAGCTTTTCCTTGTCACCTTGATCGAAAAACTCATCAGTTACAAGTTTGGCAACCTAAAAGTTAGAATAATCATCTTGTTAATATTGTAATTTATAGACTACTTTGTTTTTCATTTCTCGAAAGAGTCAAAAATTTTGGTTTAGTAATGTTCCTCGTTTTTTACAAACGAGTCCCGGCATGGCCAGATGGTTATGGCGCTCGACTCGCAATCTGAGGGTAGCGGGTTCGACTCCCCGTCACACCAAACATGCTCGCCCTTTCAGCCGTGGGGGCGTTATAATGTGACGATCAATCCCACTATTCGTTGGTAAAAGAGTAGCCCAAGAGTTGGCGGTGGGTGGTGATGACTAGCTGCCTTCCCTCTAGTCTTAAACTGCTAAATTAGGGACGGCTAGCGCAGGTAGCCCTCGTGTAGCTTTGCGGGAAATTCAAAACAAACAAACCAGTCCAGTGATTAGTGTTTCAGGCTATGTTCTGGATGAAAGTTCCAATTACAGTTATTTTAAAATGATAATCAAAGTAGATACGATTAACTGAAGTGCTTGAATTATTACTAAGACAGTTTTGTAAAGAAACACAAGAATTTGATCGAAACTTCCCTTTGGCTCGTTATCTCTGAATACTTTAAAAAATACGTATTGTTACGACAGCGGGGGTCACGTGACTCTAGTAACACGTGATATT